AAAAAAAAAAAAAAAAAAAATTCTAAGTAATTTACTCAACTTAAGTGCAAATACCTGACAATTCTACAGTGACGTGCAAAAGTATTTGCCGCCCCCCCCCCTCCTGATTTCTGTTTTTTTCTATTTAAGTGTTTTCTTGATTCAACAAGTACGTTGGTAATCAGGTTTGGGTGTGGCTTGTGAAATTGAACATATGTACATGTGAAGTTAGAAATATGGTTGAGTATCGTTGTAAAACGTAGTATGCACACTGTACTGCATTTCCAAAGCTTGGTTGTAGGTTCCTTTTTAGCATGTAACGCTTATGTGTATTTTGACTCGATGTACTCTGTAGTGTCATCACATCTAATCAATTTCTCACTCCAAAACCAGGAGCCAAGTCTTGGCCACTCATGAAAAACAGTTGCCGAACCTTGCACACTGTATGAGAGTTCAGTCAGATTTTGCTGTCGCGCTAGCAGGCTCAAGGCTAACCAGTGTGGTTCTTACGCTGCCGGGATGGAGGGAGGCAGTGGCGGGCACGCCGTAGGGGTCCAGGTGGGTGCCACAGCAGGGGCGGGTGTAGTGGGCGAAGATATGAAGCTCACAGGCAACAGAGAGGAAGAGGAGGACGAGGAAGGCGGCGTCCGAAGAGGCTCTTTGGGGTCGACCGAGGTGAGGGCTCCACCGGGACTGGAGTCAACACTCACGTTCTGTGTAATACATAAACACCAAACTGTTAAGACAGCTGCAGTGAAATCAAGACTTTTAAGCTACAGCAATGACAAAAAAAAGCCTGCAAAATCCTGTAAGGACTGGTGAGGAATAATAATTGCCAAACAAAAGTTAGTCCGGGTCAAGTGAGGCGTACTCTGTCCTTAGCGGGCGGTGCAATGCCGCTGCCGCTGGCCTGTCGGTTGTCGAAGATGTCCTCCGCCTTGAGATGCCCAGCGGCTCCGGGTAAAGGAGGGAAGCTGGACAGGCCCAACTCAAAGCTCGGAGACGGCGCTTTGGGTGGAGGCGGCGGCGATTGAGGTGGCACTCGCTTGTCGCACACAAATCGGCTTTGTGTTAAACAACATCATCAACTCAAATAGAAAATATATAGTTCCAATAGGGGAGAATTACTTACTGTAAACTTTTCGTCCCTCTTTTTCCTAAAAGTAGAAGAAGAAACGTTTTTGAAGGATTTGAGGACAGCCTATATTATATAAATGGGGTTCGGCCCACAGTTGCTTTGAATTCATGACGGTATCATACCTTCCTCGGCCCATTCCCAGGGAAGAGTAGTCTGCTGTGGCGGTGAAGTCACACACCCGACCTGTGCCCGCCGACTCCCGGCGGGGAAAGACAGCGGAGGCCAAGGCGACAGGAGGTAACCTGCTTCTAGGCTGGCTGGCAGGGAAGCGCGTAGGTGGGCTGCTGCGGACGCCGTTCAATCTGTCGCTGGGGAAACTAGGAAAGAGAGCTGGGCTGTCCAGGAGCCCTGTGCGCTCTGCGGCCGGGAGGGTCGGCCTCAGGTGAGGTTTGCTGTGATTCCTGCGGAGAACAAAATAACCACCCCGCCCAAAAATGTTTTTCTTCTTCCAAATCACTTTTCAGTCTGTTTTACGGAGAATAAATTCATAGCACCAACCTGGTCCTGGGTGAGTGGTGTCTGACATTGAGAGGAGTGGTCACTGGTTTGAAACTGGCCGATGTAAATCCGTTGATGAATTGGTTGTTGTGAAATGGAGCAACCTGGGAAAAAAAAAAAAAATTCAGTAATTAACACATATGCAGCATATACACTACTCCAAAAAAGTTAAGGATATTTGGCTTTTGGGTGAAATTTCATTGCATTCAAAACGTCCTAGGTGAACTTTATGTGACCTTCTCTTAGCCAGGGGTCCCCAACCGCCGGGCCGCGGACCGGTACCGGTCCGCAGGGCATTTGGTACCGGGCCGCACAGAAAGCACTTGCCTTTTTTCCGTTTTATTAATTTCGGATTGCGAAATGTTTTATTTTGAAAAATTACCGGATTCTCTGTTACATCCGTCTGTGTCACGCTTGACTCACGTCAAGGCACACTTCGTGGTCAGGTGACCGATGACGCTCATAAACAAAAGGCTGAAGCCCGCAAAATGAGTAAAAAAGCTGCTTGGAGATCGCAAATGACGGCGGCCTTAAAAGTACGTTCGAGACAACTGGATTAAAGTTCTGTCTGAATACTCTGAGATCGCCACAATAGCACTGTTGCTATTTCCGGCATCCTACCTGTGTGAGGTGTGGAGTTTCTGCAGCAACGGCGACTAAAACAAAATTACGAAGTAGACTCGATATAAACCACACACTTAAGGTGTCATTACCCCGAGATGGGACTGTCTGATTGCAGAAAATCAAGCTCGGGACTGTGGTGAGTCGTCATTTTCATGCACTTTGAATTTGCGTTGTATCGTATTTTGAAGGCATTAAACATTACCACAGCGATAAGAGTGTTGCGACCAGATTAGACGCTCCTTGTGTTTATTATTATATTTCGAAAACACCACAGTTTTCATGCAGCTCATACCATATTATTTTGTTGTATTAATCCGCCACACCTTCAATGCCGGTCCCTGAAAATATTGTCTGACTTAAACCGGTCCGTGGGGCAAAAAAGGTTGGGGACCCCTGCTCTTAGCTTCTGAATGCACATGTACAACTGTTAAATGTTTCCGTTCTTTTTGCACTAGTTGCTGTTCTCTCATGAGGAGGCAAAATTCACAACAGATGTTTGATCCTGAATCGACCAATAAATATCCTGGTTCAATTAGAGATGATGCTTAAACAGTCTTCCTCATCATGCCATTCACATTTTGACATCATGAGACCAAGACGACGGCCAACAATGGATCAACAGTACCCTGCCATTGTGATGCTTCAAACAGGATGTTCTCTCACGGAGTGGCCACTGACTAAGAGTGTCATCAGCACAATGCAACAGAGATACCGAGAGACTGGAAGAGTCACAGAAAGATGTAGACGTGAACGTCCTTCGGCCACATGCCATGCTAATGACCGCTAATGATCCCTAACTTTTTGTAGACGTGTATATGTACTCACCGTAAAATGCATGTTCACAGATCTTGAACACACATAGAATCTCTTCCACATATGCATTTTTAACCCTAACACGCAAAACTCTCAACTCTTAGACACACGCGCACACACAAATTCAACTGTGACTACCATGCGTACATTCAAATATCACATGCACACACACTATACTCTGACATAAGCACACACTTAACTGACTTACACAAGCACTCAGCTCTGTCATCCAAGTACAAGAACACATGCACAGTCTCTAACACAAAACACACTTAATTCCGGTGCACGCGCAGACCAACATGCTTAATTCAAACGCGCAGACTAAGTGCCGAACGCAACTCAAGTGGCTTTGCAGTTTTTTTAAGCATTGCATTCTTTGGCCTATGGCTGACCAATTGACACTGGAGCAGCGTTGCGAAATGGCCGCCTGTCAAGAAGCTTGTCTGTACTGGACTGCAGTTCAGTGCCAGTTTGAGAAGCTTTCTGGCCGTCACGCTGCTGCAAAGTGTCATAAAATTGACGCTATCTATGGCAGGGCTCTCGACACAGGATCTGTTCTTGACAAAGCACGTAGTGGAAGGCCAGTTCCAATCACCAGTGATGAAAACACTAAATTCCGACAGCAGGCGTACGCTCAAACCCAGGGCAAGTCTAAAACGGAGTGCTGCACAGCAACTCAGCATCAACAAAACTCATCTGTGCACGCACACACACAAACACAGCTCCAGAAAACTATGTTTTTATAATTCCTTGTCATATTATTGAAAGTGAAACAAAGCCTTTGTACGCCGGCAAGTTCTTACCAGCGTGGGGTCTATGAAGCTGTGAGTGGCCGACCAGGCCTGAGGCGTGATGAGGCTGTAGAGGGGGAACTGCTGCTGGGGGCTGTACATCGGCGGGATGTAGTAGGATGTTGTGTAGCGTTGCTGAGCGTACGGGTTCACCTCCACTGGCCGGTAACCATTCTTTGGCATGAATGTGTTCAAAGCGATTGCCTTCGCCTTTATTCTCGCCTGCGCGACAGCAACCGCACCAAATCTTATTTATAGTTATACAGTACATTTGTTGACATATGTAGGCGTAGAATTGTGTATATTTTTCAGGAACGTAGTGTTTTTTTTTTTTTTTGCTCTCTAGAATATATGGTGAATGTACCTTTAAAAAGGACTCACCTTGATAGGCTTCCCTTGAAAGGTTTTCACCTCCTCCCGGAGATACTGATATGCCTAGAACAAAAGAAAATGTTTTTGTCATTTTAAATTCACACTGAAGTGGCACCTTGAGATACAATGTTAAATCTTTGAAATTCTTGTCTGAAGTCATCTTTTCCCCACTGAAACCTACGACAATGACATGCTGCTTATTGTGAAGTGGTGTGTGTTTCATTACGTAGCACCATACAGCACAGGGCGTCTCAAATCTTTGCTTGCAAGTCATAGCACCCCAATAAATACATTCACAAATAAATAAATAGATAGATTTTTGGGGTAAATTAATTTAAAAAAAAAGAAAGAAAAAAAGCAGCAGCTCATATTCCGAAAAAAACTTTAGTGTGGCAGGCCACTTCTATCACAAGACGCCACTTTACTACTAATAATCTTCCCTTACGAACACAAAAAGTATTTGCGGGTTTTAAGGGCAAACCGAAAGCAACAGGGGAGCATTTTAAACCCCAACTGTGAGGTTAGTTGAGTCACTCAGAAGCGCGAAGAAAGAAACTTCAGGAAAAGACAACAATGGCGAATGTACGCAGAAAAGAATGTGTTACAATCACGACATGATTCAAATGAAAGAAACTGCATACAGCGGTATGTTTTGTGCATTTGGTTGATTTCTAAAGCTCAACACCGTTTTACCTGTTGTGCATCTGCTTCAGACTCAAAGGTGATGAACCAGTTATCATTGTAGGCAAATTCACAGTTGATGAACTTAGGTAGGCTGTCTCCTTTAAAGAGGGCCTCCACCTCCTGTGAAACAAAACAACAACAAAAAAAAAGATGGTATTTTGCGTTCATTTTGGGCTGTAACGATCAAATATTTTTAGTATAAATTGTTTAAAATCGATTATGCCATTGAAAATTTCTTTTACTTTAAAATGGATGGCAAAATAAAGTTTTCCGAGTGATTATCAATAGATTCGGCTAAAACTGTTGCTCATTGAAAAATGTTTCCAAATGTCTTATTTTGATCAACTAAAATATAATTGGTCTGCCTCCATGGAAAACTACAAAAAACATCTTTACTTCTGTGAGACTGAAATCAGAGGATTTGGACAATTTTAAGGTCAATAATGTCTTTGATTTATTATCGAAACAGTTAATTTGGTGATCGCTTGAGGATGAGCCAATTCATTTTGACACCTCCACATACATAACTAAGCAAAATGTCCTAAATACGGGACATTCTTCAATGAGCTGATGCACTCAACAGCGACAGGTTGGGGTCACTGTTCCACAAAGACATCACAATAATCCGAAAAAACACTTTGCATAACGGTCTTTTGACTGACAGTTCTCATTTTGAGACACTGATGACACCAACGAGACCATCGGCTCAGGTGCACCGAGGAGGACACAGAACAACCAGATGTAAAGGCTCATGTGCATGTCAACAAGCGTCCTTATTGGTTGATAACCAGGGAGTTGAAATGTCAGACAAGTCAGACAAACAGCAATGTAGGTCCACTCACGTGGACTGGGGTGCTCTCGGGAACCTCTCGAAGGATCACGATGCAACGGTTCTGATTGGGTCGCACCTTCTCCCCCTTCTCATCCACTTGGACCAAAGGCAGAGCTGGAGGACGAAGAGGATGACGACGTCAATGCAAACAAGTCACATGACGTCAACCTGAAGCGCGCGCGTGTGTGTGTGTGTGTGTGTGTGTGTGTGTGTGTGTGCGCGCATATATTTACACACACACATTCTAACTAGCGTTTTTGTGATTGTTACAGCTCATAGAGCTTGTTAGGTATCAGCCAAATCTCGTGAAAACCAATTCAAAGTCAAGTCTTTCCCGGGTTTTAACCAGAATCTCAAGGCTAAAGCCAAGTCGAGTGCGTTGAGCCTCACACTCACAGCGTAAAATGTCCACGATGAGCTCGACGTCCGTGCTGAGCTTTTTGATGTGATCCAGGTTGGCCACCGTCACGATTGGCACATACTGGTCGCTGTCCATTTGAGAGATGAGGTAAATGTCACTGGCCAGGTTCTCGCTGAGGGACAAAGAGCGGACACACTTGCTTAGTTACACTTTGGGTGAGGAGGAGAACAGCGGTGGGCAAGAATGATACATTGTGCTGCATCTGTCAAAAATAGCTTAAGAACTGAACTAGTAAGAGTGCTTGGAACTCGAATGACAACAAAATGACAGTCACAAATGAAGACGGCGATGCAAATGAAGACGAAAATGAGCAAACGAAGAAGCTAGAAAAGGCTTACCGGGAAAGACAGAATTCCAGAGTTTTCTTCAGCTGCTCTCGCAAACCCTCTTGGGGATTCTCAGGCTGGGGATCACTGACTATTAGCACAGAAATAAAATCAAATGTTAAATAGTCACAGAAGAAATGAAAGAACAGACCAAGTGATGGCTCGACACTCAAAAAAACGTCACGCTGAGGCACTTATTATAAGTCAAGGCTCTACTCTATTGTGACTTGTCCAGCTGTCATTTGTGCGTCACGAACCTACCTGCGGATGCAGGCGGCCTCTGCTCCGAGAATTCCGGGTAGGGCGGCTCCGAGCGCTCCAGGGTAACGGGCGCGGCCAAGGCGGGAGACTGGGCCAACATCACCAGCGGAGGTTCATCGGGCTCGGTTAGCAGAGGCTCTTGATAAGCCTTGTCCTCTTCACTTGCTCCATAACCTTCCACGCAAAAAAAAAAAATTATAATAAAAAAAACCCACAAGACACAAAGGTCAACAATCAGAAGGATTCCAATGATGCTCACAATTTGGCAGGAAAGGGAGTCCTTATAAAGTGCCACGTATTCGTGTTACTATAACAAGCTTATGAAAGAAAAAGAAAAAACATGCCTGAAGACAATGCCAGCCTCTCTGATGCAGTCGTGTTTGGGTTTGTTTTTAACACTTCACTGTGTGACTATTCATCAGGTTGAGAATTGCAATTATGGGATTAATGTGATGTGTCACCTTGTTATCGAGTTCATGATCTTGAGCGCATCGCAGTCACACAGTCCTCCGCGCTCCCCTTCTTTAATGAATGGAAAACTCTCCCTCCAATTTTGAAAGGTTGTCGCTTTCACGTTGATTAAAAAAAGAATATTTTTTCAAAGATTTCAATTGTGTGTCGCCACAGGTGGCAGTAATCGACTCAAGCTTGATCAGTACACACACAACAGCAATGCTGTGTTCGGACAAGGAAGAAAGCTTGCGACAGAAAAAAAGGCACACTCTTTGATCACTGTTTTGGAAAAAAATGTTTGAACATGTCTAATTCAGTCTGCTTTTATGGAGGACTACTGAAATCACCAAATATTTACTGTTGAGAGGCTGAAATTCAGAGGATTTGGACAATTTAAAGTTAGACATGGTCTGTGAACAAGCACCTACCAAAAAAGATAGATCAATTTGAGAATCAGTTATTGGCTTTATCGATTCATTGTTGCGCTTCGAAAACAACTCAAAAGTTGTGTTTAAAGAGACACTTTGTCCAATTTTTAAATATTGCAATGGTCAAATGCTTTTTCTTTTTGTTCAAATTGGACAAATTTCAAGACGGAAGAATGCTTAGGGTGAATTTTTGGTTACTTTTGGACGGGTTTCAGGGTGAAAAAAACAACATCTAGGGTATTGGGAAGTGCTTTGCGAGGGGTCACATCTTTTCACCTCTCTGTAAAAAGTCATGAAAAGTGAACGCTCCAAATGGCAGCGAGCGGCAGGCAAACCTGGTGGGCCTTGCTGGGCTGAGCTCTCGCAGCCCTCCTTCCATGGTTGCAGGGCCGCAGTGCACTTGTCAGCACCGCCGCTGGGGTCCAGGCTAAACATGTGGTTGGCCCATGCTTTCGCATTGGGGTTGAGGTCCGAAACCTTAGCAGATTCCTGCAGGCAGAACGCAAAATGAGGCTCAGAAGAATGCTTCGGAAAGAAGAGTATATACAAAGTTTCAAGAGTATCATGCTCCCAGCCTTTTTCACAGATGACGCTGAAATGGACATATCGAAAATCATGTACCCCCATTGAAATGAATGGGAAGGTCATTGATCTGTTCCAGGCATGCAAGTCGCAGGTACAGTTTTTGTGTACTTGGAGTAACTGTGACTTGGAAAGGACGTGACCATGAAAGGATGGAACTGATCTGGTGAGTGATGTAGGAATCAACACATGAGAGCGTAGTGTTGGCAAATCATTAGTCTGTCTGCATCTTGAGTGATTCGGCCTAAGTTGTGCCCTATGCGTATTTACTGTGTTTGTTCAGTTAAGCGAGTGTGTCTATCCTTCACCACCTGATTAGAGTATGTTCCAACCAACTATGGTAGTCTACTTTAAACTAGCTAACGATGTTTACTTTCCAATAGACAGGATGTGGTGTAAGTCAGTTCTGCTTTGCAGTAGACACTTGGTACTTTATCTTCTCCAAGTGTGAAATGATGTCAAATTTTAGACATTTTCTTTTTCTGACTCCTTCCGGGCTCACGAGTCGGCAGTAATGTTACTCCGGGGGGGGGGGGGGGGGGGGGGGTGGGGTGGTATGATCACCGCAAAATCCTGCATTAAAGAGTGAAGAATGTGCAATTTTAAAATCAGATGCGTACAATTTAAAAATCTGTGATACGCCCCCCCCCCCAAAAAAGACAACAAAAAGTGAACCATGATATGGCAAGAGACGGCTATTTTCAAGGCTGACATTGACATGTTCTATCCCATCTGTCTGTTGATGCTACTCGATATCCAGTACATATCAATGATGACAATGAGCTTTAAGAGGATAAATATTCAAACTTGTCCCATCGTCCTACCCTATCTGGCTGCCATGAAAAAGAATGGCCAGGAAGCACACCTTTGTTGTTTGACCTTCTACCAAATGGTCGGTGACGGTGTTTTGGAAAAAGATGAACGCATGCTGGCCAAGAGCACACATGACTTATTGTCGGTGTCATTAGACTGCAGCCTGTGGAGTGCCGACGTTATTACAACACTCGCGTTATTGTAAGGCTGGAAAAAAAAAAATAGTCGGATAACTGGTGTTGACCACAAAAATTGGTCGGAACAGAAATTTCTGTCTCAAAACTATAATTAATCTCTTTAAAATGAGATTTGCGACACCCAGAACCATTTAGTCCATTCTGTGTTCATGCATGAATATTTGTTGCAGACAAACTCGGTCCTTCAGTGAGAGGTGACTTCCTAACCGGAATATAACGCTGTCATTCAACTATTTTATACATCTCGTGCTGGCATCAATCATTATCCGGTTGCGGAAAGCTGCCTCGAGTGTGTAAACATTGATTAATCAAAACAAGTTTTGCTTTTTAGCCTTGAGGGATTTGTTTTTTTCTCCTCAAAACAAACAGACTTTAAAACAGTTTGAAGAACATGTTTTTTCCCCACTATTAACGTGCATAAACCTCCAAAAGAACTTTTTTTCATATGTAATTCTTTGAATCCGGTTTCCTCATACATCCAAAAACATGCATGGCAGGTGGTTTGAACACTCTAAATTGTCCTGAGGTGTGTTTGTGAGCACGAAGGGTTGTTCCTCTCTGTGTGCTCTGCGATTGGCTGGCAACCAGTTCAGGATGTACCCCGCTTAATGCCCAAAGCAGGCTGGGATAGGCTCCAGCACGCCCGCGACCCTCGTGGGATAAGCGGATTAGAAAATGGATGAATGGATGGAGGGCGGCCCGGTGGGCCAGTGGTTAGCGCGTCGACCTCACAGTGCAGAGGTGCAGGGTTCGATTCTGGGTAGGATTTCTAGTTAGAAAAATACAATTTGAAAAAAGTCAGAAAGGGAAACTGCTTTCACAATGTATAAAAGGGAACCATGTGTTATGGAAAAATGGTTCGTCGTACCAAACATAATAGGACTGAGGTAGATTTTTTGAGGATGATTCCAGTATTTGCCAGAATAAAATTGTTATAACGATAAAGATGTATAATGAATGAAAATACTTAAGCCTCTGTCACTCACAATCGCAGAGTGTCAAGGCCAATTTTGAGTTGTCTTGACGGGTCGTAGCCCATGTAGTGCGACATACTCAACGATTGGTCGTCTGGCATCCTGGATGGAAATAGTGTGGCATTTCCTACGATTGTTTCCTTGGGATTGACCAAAAATGAGATGGAGCAAAACCCCAGTCAACCCACTGACCAGCGTGCTCTCTTTAGCTCCTTTTGCTGGCCGCAATATCTTGTGGGACACAAGTGCATGTCCATGCTGGAGTTTTGCTCTACAGGAAGAACAAGTGCATGGTGCAGGGAACGAATTCCATGCCTTGAGCATACATACGTTGGTTCCTTGGTGGTTGATTGTACACTGGTTGAGGAAGTAATTGATTATATAGGCAGCAGAGATGGCATTCAAAATGCAAATACTGCTGACGATTGTGTGCATCCGGGCAGCCAAAAACTGTGATTCTAATTCAAATTCGGCTCATCGTGCAGCGCTACATGATCCAGCGAAAAATCCGTGACGATGCAAAATGGGAACGACAATTTGTCAAGGGGCAACAGCGTGTCCCCTCTAAGTTGAAATGAGAGTTTAACCTAAAGGAGCACGCACCAAATGAACGTTGTCCTTGGCCTCTTGTACTTGCTGCACCTGTGGTTCAGCGACAACCTTGGCGTCCTGGTCAGAAGTCATGAGCCGTCTGCTTCTTGGCTCCTCAGGGAGAAGTCTGCGTAGCACCCAGGAGCCTAAGGCAAAACAACAACAACAAAAAAAAAAATAAGACCACGGCAGGGTTTGCGCAGTGCTGCGTCATAACAAGAAAACAACATGTGATGTGCAAAAATAAAGAGATGTACATACTGCTATTTGTACTTTGCACTCCCCAAAACAAAAACATTTGATCAGTGCTCAATTAATCAATACACCCGCTGTGAGTCAATATGGTCTTTGTGCTTGCACTGATTCAAATGACGGCACGTGAAAAAGAATTTGCTGTGCGGCCGAATGGATGGCAGCACTCACAAACAGAAGATAAGACGATCGCCGCAATCAATTATTTTAGCTTATCAACATGCACAACATTGACCTCTCCGAGCAGCTAATGATTCAACTGTGTGCTATACTACTGACATAAAATACTCCTCGTTAACATCCATTGCCTCATTGAAAGCACTATAGCCATGCATGGGTCAACTAGTGTACAGCTTTGCCTCACTAGTAACGTGGAAGGAGTTGCTCGACTCAGGACCTTAGTTCTACCCATGTGCAAAAACATTACACAGTACAGGATGGAGCTTTACCTGCACCAAAAATTAAAATTACAAATAATATTGAATGAGGGCGAAAAAGAAGAAAGACGAAGTAGATAAAACTCAAAATGTTGAATATTAGAAAAGTAAGGCCATGCTGAGTTCATCAGATTTATTTGTGACATTTGTGTGGGTGGGCCAGTTGGGCCAGCATCATCGAACTTTGGGCGAGCCAATCGGCACGTGGTGACCTGGGGCAATTGTCAATTTCAGACTCTAAAATGTATTTCTTCGTTTTTTCTTTATACTTATCTAGTAAAGACAATTCAGATTTTATTTTGCAGTGCTGACCCTACAATAATGTGACACTCTGATATTTTTGCTCACAGTTATTGTATTGTCCAAATCTGATATCGACCAGCATTGCTAGCTAGGGGCGGTTTTATGGTCCGCTTCATGACAGCTGAGTGCTCGTCCACTTTAAAAATTGAGCCCTGAGCCCCAACAACATGACGGGTGGGCCATTACGGTTTAAGAATAGCTGGTGGGTTTTCCCTGGGGGAGTTTGCTCGACAAGCAGGTCCCAGGAGTTGGAGGAGGGGGACGGAGGGTGGGGATTGCGTTGATCCACACAAGACACGTGAGCACCCCCCCCACTTACCATAAAATCCGGTGATTAATCTGCAATTTTTGTCTTAAAAAAAAAAAGTTTTTTCCCCCCCCAAGTATTGTACAAGGGTCCAGACAAATTACAAATAAGTAAATATAGGATCACATTCTATAGACATTTATCAGTAGAGGATGTTCAAAAAAAAGGTGTATTTACATTCCAACATGATATTTTATGTCTGATGTTACAATTTCATGTAATATAAAATTTATATTTTCGACAAATTGCCCAGAGTTGTGGCGGACATTTGAGTTCCTGTTTCGAGTGTTGTTGCAGCTTAGTTGCCTCCTTATTACTTACCTCATTGGTGTTTTTCTCAGCATTAGCCCACTGGCATCCTTCACAAGCCATTTGCAGCAAATATGTGCACTATGAGGCATGTTGTTTGCTATTGGCATACTGCAGAGTCCCCCAATGTTGTTACAATTGTTGCTTGTAGCAGAAATAATGTTGCGAAGGTTTTGGAGTTCAAAAAAAATACTGAGTAATGAAATAAACAATAAAATAATGAATGTCCCAAATATTTGTTTGCAAAAGTCCTACTTCAAACTCATTTTTTCCTTTCTTTTTTTTACAAGGAGCAGTGTGCGCCATAACATGAAATTTTAGGGTGCAAATAGAGGCACACACTATAAATTGACTGGCAAAGTAAATATACATCCCATTCATTTTTACGTATTTTAAATACAATCAGTTACAAGTTAAAATCTGTTTCAAATACAGTTTAGGAAATAAATCTTTGCTTAGCTTTTGATGACCACTAAGGCCTACTGCATTTCAATGACGATCATTATTACCGTGGTCTTTGATGAACAAAGTGTTTTTCGAGGTTCTACTTGGTGTCAATAGACAAGGCAATAAGACATCTGGTGCATTTCCCACCCCTTTCTTAACTTTCATATCCGTCACAGGAAAATGATACTGAAAACACTAGTACCGCCTCGAAAATGCCAGTTTGATAAATACTGCTCTGACGTAAATCAATCAATGTTTGGAATTTTACACCCATCCCACGCGATAAACGGGGTTTTCCCAGTGTCAACACTGCAGGTGGGAGTGCAAAAACGTCAAGTGTTTTGATCACAGGAGGAGCGAGCACCATGCTACGAGTCTCCTCGGGGCGGACATTGATTTAATCATTACACCCCAAAAAAATGCCCGAACAAACGCATACCGGTGGACGTTCATGTTGATCGAGTAGCCCCAGTGCCATTAGCGGTCGTGCCCAATGAAAGATGGCGACCTCCGGCGTGAGTTCCCCCGATTCCCCCAACCCCCATCAAGCTAATATTGAGTTAGCTTCCACTGCTAACTTCACCGGACTTTTCTACTACAAAGCTTTTGCGGAACCCCCGTTGTTTTTTTAACTTTTCAATGAGTTCACTTGAACAAGTTCAATCGAGATTTTGACACTCACCTGTCAACTCTCGCTGGTCCAGCAAGCCAAAAACAAAACGGGAAAAAAAGCGTTCAAGCAGCTGCGGAGGGGCACAGGAGACACCGGGGTTTCGACTGAGGCCTACGTAGGGCGTCCGGGGCTAAATGCGCAGGGTATTAAGCAGCAGGCTCCCCCGACGAAATAAACGTCGCAGCTCAGCCTCCCCGGGACACTTCTTGGAGCGTCCGCCGAGTGTTAACAGTCTCCCCCCACCCCCACCCCCCACCCAAAAACGAAGCTAGTTCCCCGCTAGCCTCACAGCGAGGTAGTTAGCAGGGGGAGCTAGCTGGGTGACTAGCCTAGCCCGCTTGGCTTTGACCAACTTGGACTAATGCGGCGCGTGGACAATTCCACGCCAGGCAAAAGCCCCACACACGGTCAGCGGCGGCAGCAAGGGAGAGGAACCAATAGAGCAGTAGCGGCGAAATCCAAGAAATAAACGCGTCAAAGCTGGCGACGTTCCACGCGAGCACACACAAGCTTGCCGACTGGAATGGAAGCTACCGCTCGCGGTTTCCTTTCCCTTTCGTCTTCCAGGCTAAGATCCTCGACACACTGCAAATGATCACTCTCCACAAAAAAGGTCAGCCAAGTAAGGTCGTGTACTGGCACAAGAACGCCATGTGCCATCATTTACTGTCAAACTTTGCTGCCACTTAAGAAAAAAAAATCAATATCAGGTTAAGTGTTGAGTATAAATTGATGGGGCGCATGTTTATGTTATTGTAGGTACTGTTTTGTTTTTGTTTATTTGCAAGTTTTGGATTTTTATCTCCGCTTTAAAATTATATTATGTTAAATTGTAAGGTTTTTTTTGTTTCCATATTTTTTTTTTTGCTGCCAGCCCATTCTAGTCAGATGTTTTTTTAATGGGATGGGATTTTCTTTTTTTTCACTGGCTAAAACGGGCTGACAATTTTATATATGTATATTTTTTTGGGTGTGTGTGTGTCTAATTTAACTTTCATGCACCGAACTCTTTTACTCAATGTTTGCCCCTCCAGCTATTTATTATATTGAACAGCCGGTTTTTAGTGAGACGTCTGCATTTTCCGCTCATCTTTGGTTCAATGCGGAAGCCGTAGCTGTCACCGAGGGCTCGCGCACTTTCCCCACCTATTTCATTCTGCCGGCGCTGATTGGCTAGGGCTCTCAGCGGTCCGCTCGGATTTGCTCCTGATCGCAGGGTACGCACGCGGACCCACTCGTGATCGGGCGGCAGTGGGCGGGGTCTTTGAAGCACCGGCCGCTATGATTGGCTGCTTGAACTTGGCCTCGGATCGCTACAAATTGCTGTCTTCACACATTACAAGCAGTGTTACGAGATATATTTCAAAATCCTCAAGTCAACCACAAAACATGAAATTCTGTGTGCTTTGGAAAGTCTTGGTTTTCTCCTATGGATTGTTCCTAAATCATCCGAAAATGGAAGCTACTTAAAGTATGAGTTTTTTTAATGGTTTATGATGTTGCAAAGATTCTGGCCTTGGAAAAAAATACTGAACGTTGTTTGAGAAATGAGCAGGTTTCAACTCATTTCAATGTCAATGCATTGCTTTTGATGGAAATATTGTCCTTAACAATATGGCCGCCACATAACTATGTCGGTTAACCGGGCTGCTACATTTCATAACGGTGCCCAGTAGCATAGATATAGGACACGCTTATGTTTGAATGTAATATGTTTGTCAAGGTAACCGCTTTGTTTTCAACACAACCAGTTTGTTGACAGTTTACCTCATGCAGTGCATACATTTGACTGCAGGAGGCGACATCAGAAAACACTGGTGGTCCATCACTTCCGATTAAGGCGGAACTAGCACGCTAAACAGCTAGCCGGGCTCCTTTCCTTTTCTGCCGAGCCGTCTGCGGACCAAAACGTGTCCCGACAAAATGGCACTGTATAACTTCAAGAAGATCATGGTGGTTCCCACCGCCAAGGTATGTGATCTTTGACGAAGTTTACACCTTAAATCGTTTGCGTTTTCATCGCTTAGCTCTGAAAAATCAACTGAAATAAACGTTGGCAGCTCGGCTGCCAAACACGTGCATGGACGTGGACGCTCCGGACGCGTTCAATTCACGATTATTTCCATTAAGTTGTCCAACATTACATCGCGGTTGTATTCAAATGAGGCATTTTGGGTTATTGACACCTTCTGATTTGATTGACTTAAGTCAATACACAGAAGGAACGTTTTTTTTATGCTTGTCAAGAAGGCACAGAAATGTCTTTTGGTGTCCCACTGTGTTACAATAAACCCACCTCTGTCTGAAGGGATTTTGGCTTCCAGGGAGAAATTTGTATTTTCTTGAGCTCGCCAATGTGAGTGACAGTGATTGAAATGTGAGTGACGTAGACTGTTTTTGTTTTTTTTAGTACGAGTGTGGACTGAATTCGAAGTACAGAGAATACATAGTACAGAATCAATAGTTTTAAATTGTACACGTGGGTTTTGACGGTTAGCCTGGATTAGTTTTGATAAATGTTCTCTTTTGGCCTCTTTAACTGTGATGTGGAGTACTATTCTTTCTCTTTTTGTGTGTGTACCCACTGCAGGATTTCATTGACATCACTTTATCCAAAACACAACGGAAGACGCCCACAGTGATACACAAGCATTACCAGATCCATCGCATCCGCCACTTTTACATGCGTAAGGTGAAGTTCACGCAGCAGAACTACCATGACCGCCTCACGCAGATTCTGACCGACTTCCCGAAACTAGATGTGAGTCAAAAACACTTGGTTCAAAAGGAGAAAAAAAAATCTTGTACAAAATACATTTGATGGACGTTTTGCTGTTCGGCGCAGGACATCCATCCCTTCTACGCTGACCTGATGAACGTCCTTTACGACAAAGACCATTACAAACTGGCCTTGGGTCAGATCAACATCGCCAAGAATTTGATTGACAAGTAAGTATGATGTTGAATTTCCCAGAACAAGAACACTGCAGTGAAATGTTGTTGTTTTTTTTTTTTTTTGGTATGTCTCATTTTTGCTCCATGTGCAGCACTTTGTGTGCAGCCGTGGTTGTTTTTTCAGTGCTTTATAAATAAAATTGAGTTGAGTTTTTGTTTGTGTTAGCGTTGCCAAAGACTACGTGCGCCTGATGAAGTACGGCGATTCTCTTTATCGATGCAAGCAGCTGAAGCGAGCCGCTCTGGGTCGCATGTGCACCATCTTGAAGCGACAGAAGTCCAGCCTGGAGTATCTGGAACAAGGTAGCGCAATGAGCCTCAATTTAGGGATGGGTGACATTCTTGCGTGGGTTCTTTGAATTGCCATGGGATAGTTTGGGCTTTGGAAAGCTTTTACATGTTGCTGCATGGAGAAATAAACATGACAAAAGCTGCAACTTTACCATTTTGAGTGGAATAGGTGTAATCGTTCCATCTTTGAATCGTATCATACCATGTGTAAGGAACCCCCCCCCCCTTTTTTTTTTCTCCAGTTCGTCAACATCTGTCCCGTTTGCCCACCATTGACCCCAACACCAGGACGCTGCTGCTGTGCGGATACCCTAACGTGGGCAAGTCCAGTTTCATCAACAAGGTGAGCTTGTTCTCTTTGCTTTTCAACTTTTCTCTCAGCAAAATGTAGACCCAATAACAAAATGGTAACTTTATGTTCAGGTGACCCGAGCGGACGTGGACGTGCAGCCATACGCCTTCACCACCAAGTCACTGTTTGTGGGTCACATGGATTACAGATACCTGCGCTGGCAGGTGAGCACCACCTTTAGCGTGTCCTTTGTTCATTTATGATAGCTGAGAGCTTGATTCCGCTCATCTACAAACATCACAAATTGATAGTAAAGGGGCAGTCTGCAGAATCCCCCAAGTTTGAAAAAAATGCAAACGGTGCATTGTGTAATATCAAATTAAGATATTCCTGTCCCATCGTACCTCAGGATTATTGAAAGCAAATTAAAAAGTTGACACCTTTTTCAGTTGATACCAATTTGCTACAAAAAAAATGAAGTGAATTGGATCAGGACGACTTTAGTAAAAATCCATAAAATACACTTGTTGGTATTATTTAGTCTCGCCATTCTGACCTTGTTACTCCACAGGTAGACGACTCATTCAATGATGACATTTGTTGATGATTCTTGTACTTTTATTAACGTTGAGATGACTCAAGGAAGGTTTGAAACTGCTTACATGCTGTCATAAAATAAAACAAAACAAAATGCTTTGCCCATTTGTCTGCCATATGGTAAACAGTAGGCTGAACAGCAAAAACTTAATGCAACAATATCAGTTTTGCTTTTCACAATAGAACTGAAGTTTACTCTCACAAAAAAGCAGCTCTGTTAGTAACAAGTGGGTCTTGTGGTGCGTCTGGCGTAGGTGGTGGATACGCCCGGGATCCTGGACCACCCTTTGGAGGACCGCAACACCATCGAGATGCAGGCCATCACGGCCCTGGCCCACCTGCGGGCGGCAGTGCTCTACGTCATGGACATGTCGGAGCAGTGCGGCCACTCCCTGGCCCAGCAGCTGGAGCTCTTCAACAACATCCGACCGCTTTTCGCCAACAAGGTGACGACGACATTTTGTTTGTTGGCTCTTTGCAGCCACCCGGTGTAACGTTTGTGCGCTCTCTCCCGGCAGCCGCTCATCGTGGTGGCCAACAAATGTGACGTGAAGAAGATGAGCGAGCTGTCTGAGGAGAACCAGGTACCTTCTTTCGATAAGGCTATCAGAAGCGACGAATCCATTTTTCCGAAGTTCAACGCGCCTCCCCGTTGGCCCTTTTGTGTTTCCTTTTGTAATGTTTTGGCTGTATGAAATGGGATTGGTTTGGGGGGGGGGATTACAGTCTGTGCCTTGGTTAAAAAATTGCCCATAAGATAAAAAAACCTTTATTTGTCTCACAATGGAGAAATTCCCAATTTACAGCAGCAAAATTATTAAAGGGAGAAATAAAAGAACAAAAAGTATCAATAAATATGAATTATGAAATATAAATATAAGCATATTAAAAATTGTTAAGTCCAGGTTTTCAGGTCTGTCTATTCAATAGCCTGATTTTATGATTAATTTAAATTTGATAAAAGTGGCCTCAGAAGTTCTTACTTTTTAATTTGTCTTTGTCTTTACGACAGCTCGTGTAAGACCCTAATGACACTGGCCACATGTTTGCTTAGAAAATGTTTGCAGACTTGTCCGCGGAAGGCATCCCCGTCATCGAGACCAGCACACTGACTGAGGAGGGTGTTATCCAGGTCAAGAATGAGGTGAGACATCACGAGACCTTTGCGTTGGCTTTGGCCGGCTTTCACCAGAACACCCGTTTCTGCACTTAGTTTATCGCGCTCGGGTACCCCCTCCTCTAGTACAGTTGTCTTGTGCGTCAGGCCATCTCTCATGAGCGCGGTGGTGTTGTGTGCCTCAGGCCTGCGACCGTCTCCTGGCTCAGCGTGTGGACAGCAAGATGAGGGGCAAGAAGGTCCACGACGTCCTCAACAGGCTGCACCTGGCCGTGCCCGCCAAGAGAGACGACAAGGTTGAAGCACGTGAACGCAAGCATCAGGAAAGCGCCGTCTGCCCTGCGCTTCACTCACATTTGTTCCCGCAGGAGAGACCGCCGTTCATCCCGGAGAAAGTTTTGACGCGCAGGAGAGCTATGGAGGTGGACGCACCAAAGCGCAAACTGGTATGCCTCAAAAACATCTTTTTTTCCCTCTCGAGGAATTAAGGTCGCTAATTGCTTTTTTTTTGGGGGGGGGGATTAGTGTAAATTCTTTTTACTAGTTTTTAATCAGAGATGGATGTTTTGTTGATTTTTTTTTCTTCAGATTTTGAATCAGCAGTTTTTTTCCTCTTGCATATCAGGTTTTCATAATAGTAAGTGTAATATAGCAATGTATTTGGTAATATTTCTGAATGAAGGGTGAGGTTCAGCAACAGGTGGAATATTTTGGCAACACATGGTAAAATTTGTATTGAACAAGGTTTAAAACATGAAATTACAACATTTCAAAAACCTGATATGCTTGGAATTTTTTAAAAGTTAATTTTATTATTAATTGATCATATGGATTATTAATGGCCCAGCTCTACCTGCAACCGTTCTTTACTAATAGAACAATATGCTTTCCAGGAGAAAGATCTGGAGATGGAAATGGGAGACGACTACGTCCTGGACCTTCAGAGTGAGCTTCCTTGTCATGGTCGTCATCATTAGCTTTCACGCGGCCACCCTAACAAGCACCATCTTTGCATCTGTCAGAATACTGGGACCTGATGAACAACGACGAGAAGCACGACAAGATCCCGGAAGTGTGGGAAGGCCACAATATCGCCGACTACATCGACCCAGCTATTATGAAGGTCAGTCGCAACCGGGAGCGAATAACCCAACCAGAGTTGACGCGTGAATCAAAATCCAGCAACAATCACCAATTACAGCACAATCAAAATCCTTGAACACTTGAAATCACTTTCTGTTGAGGGGCGGATTCTGTCTCATGCAAAAGCTTTGTTACCATAGCAACTTGGGAGCGGGCTTGGGCATTCCAAGAGAGGAGAGGAACGGTTTGGAAATGAGTATAATGAGTAAGATGTTTTTAGTTTTAAGTTCTGGTTATACGTTAAAGTTCATTATAAATATAGATTAGGAGGCAGATTGGAAAACGACAACTCCAGTTACAAGAAAAGAATTTTGTTCAGAAAAACAGAGTCCCGAAACTCTGACACTAAAATGGGGTTATGTCTGTTAACTTTGACTATTTTAGAGTTGACTTCTTTTGTCAAAATAGGCTTTCCGTATTTATTTGTTTTTAGTGTGTGCACGCCGACATAGTTTGTTTGTGTTGCGGATCAGAAACTGGAAGATCTGGAGAAGGAGGAGGAGCTCAAGGAGCGTGCCGGCGAGTACGACTCGGACGACGAAAGCGAGGACGAGGAGATGAAGGCGATCCGCGTCATGGCCAACCAGATTCGCGAGAAGAGGCATCTCATGATCTTGCAGTCCAAAGAGAAAGACGTGCACGGGCCGCGGATGCCCAGGACCGTCGCCAAGGTAATGCCACCATTATTCCAGTAACTCAAATATTATCTCCATATTATTTTATATATATTTAAATGTGGAGTGTAAACAACTGTTGGACCTCCGTACGAAAAAAATACATTTATAATACATGTAAAATGGTAAACTGTAGTTTCAGTTGGTTATAGCTTTTTTTTTTTTTTTTTTTTTTTTTTTTTTTTTTTTTTTTTTTGCACACGGCGCACCGCATTAAGAGATGCCATGTCAGTAACGGGTGATATTTCTGTATTTAATACATAACACACACTACATTATTGGACGCAGGCGCGGTAAAACGTATGCTCGCCTAAACAATACGGAAGCATACGCAGTAGCATGCATTCACTCTTGCGGATGTTTTTAAAAAGGCTGCAGGAGCAAAACTGAGTTCAGTGGTACTTAACTGAAGTATTTAACACTGTACTCACATTATTTTTGAATCGATCTTCATCCACAAATCCATCAAAGTCCTCATCTGTATCCAAAATAAACAGCTGGAACACGCCAGGTTCCCTCTCGTCATTGTCATTGTCACAATAGTGAGACTGAAAAGTCAACCGCAGTACGGCCATAAACGATGGTGACATCCGTGGCGCAAAGGATATTATGGTCCTATGTGTTGTCTTCTGGCACTTAGGTTGAGAGAAAGACGTTGGAGAAGGAAATGGGTGACCTCGGCCTGGACATGAGCGACAAAAACAACGTGAGTAGTGGTGTCCTTTCCCGGGTGACGCCTGATCATGTGCGAACCACATTTGACTATTTGTCACTCTTCTTGCAGAGTCACTACGCCCAGAATGCTCGCCGCTCCCGCAGCGTCACCCGGAAACGAAAGCGTGAGAATTCGGTGGCGCCGCCGACTTCCAAGACACGTAGCCAGAGCACCTCTCGGCCTCCTCGGGACAAATCCGGATTACGAGACGCAAAGGTACGCTTCACATCGGGATCACCGGGACTAAAATGATCACCGTCAGTTCGATTAGCATCATATCACACACACAAAAAAATGGTAACAAACAAACAAAAGTAAGTAAGTCATGATAGAGCGACTTAACAGTAGAATACATTTTTAATTCTTTAAACTCCATTTAATTATTATTACAAAATATATTTGTTGTGTGCAAATTTATAGACTGCTGTTTTCCTCAACAAAAAAAAAACTGACTTTTTTTGTGCAAGATGGGAACAGAATTTTCTATAGGCGAAGGGTTCATTTCTATATTGTTGACAATATTTCCCCCCTCCCCCCTCTCTCAAATGTCTTTTTGTATTTCAGATGGCAAAGAAGACCAAGAAAATGATGAAGAACTCCCAGAAGGGCATGAACCGCCAGGGCAAGAAGGGCGAGGCGGACCGACACGTGTTTGACCTAAAACCCAAACACCTGCTGGCGGGAAAGAGGAAGTCAGGACCCACTGACCGCAGATGAACAAGAATCACAAGTCTCTCTGGACTCTTGGAACATGTGAAGAAGGCACTTCCCTCTGGGTGACTTCTACACAATACCCAAATCGGGAAATGATCATTACCTTCTCTGTCCAATATTTTAGTAACTTGTTGATGATGGCGGCGGTTGCGTGATTTGTTGTTCCGGCACTCAAACACTGTGTGGGAATTCATGTTGGATAAAGTTGATGTTGGCAAATAAATATTAATCTAATCCCAGAGAAGGCTTTTTTCAAATATTTTAAATCAAATATTCTATTGTATTATCACCATCCTAGACAATGTTGTCTATCAGGATGCAAACTCTTAACCCTATTTGCAAAATAGAATCATCAATGTGGAAGAGCAGCAGATCAACTCTTGACTCTCGTCTATTGTTCGACGATTCTACTTGGCAGTTGGGGCTTGTTTAATTTTGATTTATTTTTTGACACATTAAAGATATGGGAAACTGTTTGGAATTTTCTTTGACTTAGGGGTGGTCTCCAGCCCAATCCCCAACTCCACCTGGGCCGAAGTCCACATTCCGAATCAAAGAGTAATCAGTCATAAGATGACAATTTTTTAAAGCAGTTTTTACCTGACTATTTTAGTTAGTCGTTATTGTGATATGTTCACAATTTTCACGCCAAATGCAATACTTCAATACGCCGAATTGACAGGAAGACTTAAAAAACAACGATGAAACTTCTTAAATCAAATGTTGAAATCGTGAACGCGTTGTTGTGCACCGAAAAGGATAAAAATCATAAGTTTCCTGGTCCAGTTTGGTTGAAAACCGTCTAGTCTTTTATTCCGACAATCCTTTGCACCGGAAGAAGATCCTCTTCTTGTCCGTCACGGAGTGACCTCCGTTGACGTCTTTTTGTCCCTTCTTCATTTTCTTGTTCGCCGAACAAAATGTTGGGTTGGCCCTCATTACTGCTGATGTTCCGTAGCTCGTTACCTCTTCTGTAGACTTTTTGGTAAGTTCCCAGCCGCGTTTGGTAGTCTTGACTCCGCCGTTTGCCTATTAGCATTGTCGGAAGCTAACGGCGTTAACATTAGCTGGGCTAGCTCATTTTCTCCTTATTTAGTCGCGAATTTGTCAGTTAAACGTCACAATATCCCGTTTTGCTTCCCATTTTCACCTCTTAATTCCATTTTAAGCTTTGGCGTGTTTTATTTTCATGCCGAGTGAGGTGATTGACAGGAACAGCGCCTTTGACAGACAAGTGACGAGTCATATAAGGAAAAACTGAAATACAGTACGACAAATCTCTTTATTTTTTGAGTCATATTTAATCAGAATACACTTTGAACTATTTATCATATTTGAACTGACTTACATTCTGTCACTTTCGTCATTATTGTATGTTTTTATGAAGGCAGATATTACCAAGCGCAATTTTCCCTCATTAAAATGCACATTACGAATGGTCATTTTAATAATCGATTCACCCGTGGATTATTTTGCCAATGAATTGGATTTAAAAAGTATGATTTAATAGGATTTAAAAAGTATGTTTTAATAGCCATCCCTTTATTCAAAACGTGACATTTCAAATTGACAGTGCAAAAAATCCACACACTTCGATCATGATTCAGTTAACCGGTTTGGTCCATAACATTTCACAAAATCTGTCTAAATGTTGATCATTGTTTTCCAAAGTAAGAGCTAATGTTTTCGTTTGATTCAACACAATCCTAATCAATCCACTTCCATGCAGGACTACAGAAACGGCATGTTTGCAAGTGAGAAACTGACATTTGGACAATTTTGAATTTTATGGGGTATTTAAATGATCATCAAAAACAATTATTGATTTATTTTAGATGATACATTTTTGGTTCCGGGGCTTGAACAGATAAAAGGGACTTCGGTGGATCTCAGTGAAGGAAAATATGATTTGGGACACAATCACGTGAATTGCATGTTGTCTCTCGTTTCCAGACTGTGCCGCTGAGGCTTTCGGTAAGCAGGAAGGATGCCGGTGGAGATCGGCACCGGCGGCGCCACCGGCACCAACACTGGCACTGGCGGAGGCATGGTCCGGCAGGCCAAGCAGAAGAGGAAATCACACAGTCTGTCCATACGCAGGACCAACAGCACAGACCAGGAACGATCTGGCTTCCTGCAGAGGGACATTCAGCTGGACACGCAGGTCAACACTTTGGCAGTTCTTTTCACCTTGCACAGGACAAACCCGTACGGCTGGGTGAATGCTATAGAGCAGGGGTAGGGAACTCCAGTTCCTAGAGAGCCTTATCCTACCGGAGTTCCCTACCCCTGCTATGGAGCATTCACACAAGATGCTCCTTAGGGATGTTCCTCATTTGACAAATGACACGCTTCACACAGTCCAATTCACACATTTCCACAAGAAAATTCTCAAATGAAGCGATATTGTACACATTGACTTCCTACATCCGCATTTCTTTATCGATTAACACCATTGCGACTTCAGTCATTCTGCACGTTACGATTGATCACAATCACGCATAGAATTTGATTTCAATACATCTTGTAATGGCACAATCAACCTGCAGTTTGTTGAAATTACTGGTACTGAGATTTTGTTTTTCAAGAATCCAACATTTTGTTAAGGTGTTTTTAAATTGTTCAAATACTGAACTTTTTTCCAACAATCCATAATTCTTATCAAATGTTTTCAAACAACGGCATTATGATATACTTTTTCTGATTTCCATTAGTACAATTTTTTTTCATTTTAAAACCCCAAAGTCATGTTCTTTGTAAATAAATAAATACAAATAAGAGTTCTAATATACCTTTGTTCAATTTTTGTGGTTTTTCTTTTTGTTTTTTGTTTTTTTTTTTTTTTCCCTAGTTGCAAAAATAGGATTTGTGTTACAAATGACTTGATACCACAAAATTTTGCAGGGATATCGCATAGCTGACTTTCAGGCAACCATTTGATAAAAGTAACATTGCAGTGCTGACAAAATGGAAAAAAGTTTAAAACATCATAGCTTCCCTTCATCCATTGTCTTCTCTTTACTTTTATTTGTTAATTTTATCAACAACATCCTTGGTGACTTGACTTTTATTTGATTCTTTTTATTTGGGATGACCTTCATCAACAACAATCATATCTTGACTTTTTACTTTGTTGGTTCCAGTCATGTGATAATCTGGAATGTTTGGCAAGGACAGAGGTGAGTTTAAGGGTGTAGTTCAAACTCACTGTGTATTTTTAGACTGTACTTTTTAAAAATCATTCTTATTATCGTGACAGTTATGGTTACTGCATATTATGCTAGGCACTCCCTAGCTGTGGTGCTGTCCTGTCCTGTACATTTAGTTTATTGTGTTCTTTCGCCTCCTTAACCCGTTTTAATTTAGTGCACTGTGGACGCGTCAATGGGTTGAGGTGTTTAGCGCGTTCACATGTGCACTTCTCCTTTTATAGGCTGCTCACTGCTACTTTTCATGTATGGCAGTCATCTTGATGAGGTAGCACTCGCGGGCTAAAAAGCTCTCATCAGCTAAAACCTAACAAAGCACTCCAGCACAATCATACAAAGCGAGTAAAAAGCTCTATTGACTCATAAAGGGGAATATTTTCAGACCTTTTTGATGCACTCAATGGAGTGGAGAGGCTTAGTGATCATTGAATGGATCCTTAAAATGTTCTTCCTTTATCTGTTTTCATATAGGTTCAGTTGGCCTTTAACCTGCGCCCGCCCTATTTTATTTACAATAAATAACCAGTTATTAAAACCCACAAATAACTGTATTTTAAATAATCCGTTTTAGGGCAAAACGAAACGAGTGTGGCTGTAACCATCATTCCAAAGACTTTTTCAAATGTCTTAGAACAGGGGTGTCAAACTCATTTCACATGGTGGGCCACATACGGCCTGGGTAGATGTCAAGTGGGCCGGACCATTAAAATGATACCATACTTTGCTATAAATAACCAAAACAACATGTCTTTCCTTTGTTTTGGTATAAAGAAGCACAAGAACATTAGGAAAATGTTGAAATTAAATGAACATATCTTTTACAAAACATTTCATGAAGCACCTTACATTTCCTTCGACAAATGTGCAATTTACTTTTATCATTCACATATATGCATTGCAACTGATCCCACTGATTGTACAAACTTTAACAAGTAATTGGTTTTGAAAAATATAGTAATGCACTTTAAGATTAAATGAGATTTATAAAGAAAGGAAGTTTTAAACCATTTACACGTGCATATAAAATCTAAATGTAATCCCTGCCTACACCTTACAAACTAAGGAGCGTGCTATTAAATGTGTAAATGTGAGAGTGCTATTGATAGCGTCTGCTGTCATGGGTCTGTCTCAGTGATGGACTGAGGCTGCTGTT